TTTATTGATTTTCGCAAGGCATTTGACACCATTGAATGGAATTTTATTCATAAGTGTACCGAACTATACAACTTCGGCCCAGATATTAGGAGATAGATATCCATTCTTTATAACAATGTTGAAAGCGGCGTTATGAATGCAGGTTTTATGACAAACTACTAAGTGTCCGGAGGAGTTCGCCAAGGGTGTCCTTTGAGCCCTCTTCTATTTCTATTAGCGGTTGAAATAGTGGCCCTTAACCCTTTAAGCCCTAAGAGTGATCAGCATCAATTTTCTCCTTGTATTATCAATGCTTTGTAAAACAGTGTGGTCATGAGAATTAAGGACATGATACACAAGATGAATATAACTGATACCTCAACAAATTCTCCCCACTACTTCTATTGAAAACGTATAGGGGTAACACACGAGAATTTGAATTTTGATGTTAGGGTTAAAGTACGCCAAGATCAACTTTGTCGGGGAATTGAGCTACCAAATGGACAAAATGCTAAGATTTCACAGTTTCCGGATGACACCACACTCATTCTTGAAGATACCAGGTCACTGAGAAATGCGATGAGCATAGTGAATTCATTTGGAGTATCGTCCGGCTTGCGATTAAACCAAAAGAAAACCAAAGCTTTGTGGATCGGTACTTCGAGCAAAAACAAGACCAAACCTTTAGAATTTGGGTGTCTAAAAGACCCCATCAAATTTCTTGGAATATTCCTTTCCCATGATGAAGCTGGAAATGACGACAACAATTTTTATATCAAAATAAGAAAATTGGAAGCAAAGCTCAATATTTGGCTCTCGCATGACTTGACGTTGTTCGGAAGAATTGCGATATCTCTCGGTTTATCCCAGTTAATCTACACTGCATCTATGCTTTCTGTTCCAGAAAAAGTTATTCTGCAGACGCAAAAAAAACTATTTGCATTTCTTTGGAAAAGTTAAACAGATCAGATCAAAAGACTTTTTCACAGTTTTCCGCCCATTATCCAAAGGTGGATTGAACTTCCCTTGCTTCAGGACTACCGTCAAAGCGCTTCGCCTTAGTTGGATAAGCAGACTTTAAAGTAACTCGAATGATAATTGGAGGGCAATCCCAAACCACCACTTTGAAAAATATGGTGGACTGTTGTTTCTACTCAGTTGTAACTAAAGCACTGACGAATTAGACAAGAAAATTCCTCTGTTTTACCGAGAACTACTCGAATATTTTCAAGAACTGCGTTGTAGCAATTATGAAGATCCATTGAGACGTGAATTTATTTTGTGGAATAACAGAGTCGTAAATATTGAAAACAAGTCGGTCTATTAGAAGGCTTGGCCGGACAAGAATGTTATGTTTATACAGGACTTGCTGAACGATCAGGGCAATTACCTTTCTCCTCAAGAATTTGGTGTCAAATACAACATTACAGTCAACTTTTTGCTTTACTATCAGCTCATCTCAGCCATTCCCACACATCTTAAAAGCGAGGCATCTGCTCATACGGACATTGGGAATCTTAATTCAGTTGGTGTAAGCTTTGATTTTCATCTAGCTAAAGATATAACGCTAAACTTAAAGAAAACCTCCTGCAAGCAATTTTATAAACTGTTTGCTGAGATAATTAATACTGAACCGACTGCCATCAAATCGTGGCAGAACCATTGCCCTGAAGTTACTGAATGCGCTGCGTGCGAAGTAACTACAAAATTACTCGGGATAACAAGTTAAGGCAATGTTATTTTAAAATTTTTGCACAGAATAGTAGCCACCAACAAAGAATTGAAATGCTTTGGGATAACTGATTGCATGAAATGTGTTATGTGTAGCGAGAATGACTCTTTTGAACGTGCAGTCTTAGAATGTCAGTCTTTTAAGAAATTATGTGACGAGTCCCATCAGTGGTTCAACAACTTGCACAATACAAACGTTAGCCTTACTTCGCTACAGATTTTTCTCAATCTACCAACTGTAACTATCAGTCTATCTGATAAAGAGACAAAGGATTTGTGTCTTCTGTTACATGTAAAACAGTGCCACTACGAACGCAAAACAATGCAAGAGAAAGCTACTACATCCGAATTTATATCCAAGTTTATTATTCAGCTTAAAATACACTCTTAGCTTGATGTGACTGCGTTCCCCTCATCCCAAATTAAAATGCTTTTTAGGTGGCTCAAACAAATCTTCTTTATTCAGTAAAACTTTCTTCTGTAGTAATACCTTTGTCTGTGTGCACAATATGCAAACGTTTTTTTTTTGGAGGGGTCTCTTCTACTTCTGTATGTACTGTAATGAGTGTATTTAGCTGTCTGTTGTTGCTTATTTGTACTGTACATGTCGTGTAAGTTTTTTTCCCTTTAACGTTACTAATAAAGTTGAATAAAAAATAAAATAAAAAAATATGCGAAGACACGTTTTTATAGCTTTTTTAAAAAACAGCAAGTAACGTGACATGTTTGTCACAGGGTGTGTGGATTAAATACATACAGGCCCCTAGTAAGCGTCTCGTATTGTAAGGTCTAATTCTCCTTGTTTCACAAGCGAACACAAAGCAATTAGTAACTATAATCATAAAGATTGACAGAATTCACTTTTGTTTATTCTTAATCATGAATATCAATAGTATTTTTTATTATTCATCTATCTATCCGTTCATCTATCCATCCGTCCGTCCATTCCACCCTTTCCATCCTTCCTCTATCCATCATCCAACACAATCTGTGGTTAATGGTTTCACTTCTGTTAACTCTTGATGATAAATTGTGGTTGAAAATTCCTGTAGTGTTGCGTGGAAAAACAAAAATGTGTAAAAGAGGGGGATTAAAGTTCCCTTGTCTCTATTGTAAGCATAATGTGCCCATCCAAGAAGTGTGCACGAATTTCTACAGTTATCGCAAAATTTATTATGTGTAAGTTAGTATTAAAAAGTCTATATTTTTTATATTATAATAAATTCTTCATACTCTAAAACATGTGTTTGTTTCAATCCACAGCTTATGAAAAGTACACCTTCTCGGCCACCATCATTGTTTCAACACTATCCACTGCATTATTTGCGTTAACAACAGTGTGTTTCTTGGCATTTAACAAACAGTCTCGGAAACTGTGGATCTTCTGGTGGAGTAGATTGAAGATCTGTTGCAGCTGTGATTAGTAAACAGGAAAACTCAAATCACTAGCAATGTAGGCTTTGTTCACACTATAATATTATTATTAGTAGTAGTAGTAGTAGTGGTAGTGGTAGTGGTAGTGGTAGTGGTAGTGGTAGTGGTAGTGGTAGTGGTAGTGGTAGTGGTAGTGGTAGTGGTAGTGGTAGTGGTAGTGGTAGTGGTAGTGGTAGTGGTAGTAGTAGTAGTAGTAGTATAATTTAAAAATTTATAGTGTGCAAATATGTATATGAATATAAATGCGCGATTGGTGAGATAATCAACAGCAATATCATTCAAACAACTGTGGCACAAAATGACCCAAGGTTGTTCCATATAATCTGTTACACGGTATTTGTTCTGAAGATCTAATTTATAAAGGACGAGATGATCACTGGTACATGCAGCAGTGGTACTTCATGATTTTTCCAGTGGAAGCATGGTGTAAGGTCATGTAGGTGGGGCTATTAGAAAGCTTTTAAATTAGATTCTAAGACAAATACGAATTCTCAATACTAAATAAAGCACACTCGTGAATCAGCATCATTTTGGCAGGAAAACATGATAGCCGTTGTCATTCTACAATGAGTTTTAGCAAGTATGTCGTAGTGGCGGAACAGGTTATCCAGGGTTAGAAGTTTTATCATTTTTGCGATCGGGAGGCTAATTTCCTTAAATAGAACTGACGTGCGAACGTTTCTGGTGAAAAAAGTACAATGAAGCTTTCCGAGGTGTATAATTATTTTTGAGAATATGCGATAAAACTTTAAGTAATCGTAGTCGTTCTCGTCCTCGAATCTAAAAATCTCTATTTACTTCTGGTCCGAAGCAACCAACTTTCTGTTCACTTAAATCACACCATGAAAAGAAAACCAGTTACATGACCATGCAATAACATCACATCACTGGTGCTCTGGCACAATGTTTACGAAGTCAATGATCTTTATTGTTCTAAAGGAGGGGGTGCACAGTCAAACAGGCTATGGTTTTCAGGGTTGTAAGTATTAGGCAGGGTATACAGAAGGGCTGTCATTAAAGACCAGGGGCTGGGGATTTCCCCTGGCTACTATAAACATGACCCCTGGCTACTTTCATTGGATAATAGAGGAAAATAGCACCAAAAGAAATCAATAGATGTTTGATTCCCTGCCTACTTCTTGTTAACTGGCGACTTGAAATCTTAGTGACAGCCCTGTATACAGTAATTTCAGAATTTATCATATTGAACAGGACATTTTACTAAACCAGAAGCCGTGAACACCCTGTCAAGGTTGGCTACGCGTGGTCTATATGCCAAGTACCAACATTTTTTTTTTAAACAGTATAATTCTTTGATGTAAAAAACCTAATTCTGTATACAAAATTAAATGAATCAGAGTCATGAAGAAAGCAGGAGAGGATACAGGATTTTTCTTAGGACGGGTGCACCACTAAGGAATCGCGTAATTGACTGGTCATGCGACGTGCCAAACTACCATTTTTACGGCGTTAAACATAAATTCTTCAAGCTCGTCTCATCTCATGTTTTACTTCAACTCCAATAAACCTCATATTTTCGTTTATGCAAAAGATCACCTGTATTAGAGAGCCGTAGGTCATTTCCGGGTGGGGGGTACACCTTCCCCTAAAATCCCCCCTGGAAAGGTCTCTTGTCTCAGTAAGGATTGCAAAAAAAGAAGCAATTTTGTCTTTAGACTGTTCACAGTCCCATATTTTTCCGTGCGGTCGTCGAGATATAGCGCGTCTTACCGTTAATGGCGGCCGTCTTGATTTAGTTTTGACACTCATGCAAGATGACAGCTCGTAACGCAAAGCGCTCGATCTCGACGATGTTGCGGAAAAATAGGGGACTGTGAGCAGTCTATCTTGTCTTAACCCTTTAAGCCTTCAGTGTGATCAGCATCAAATTTGCCCTTGTAATATCAATGCTTTGTAAAACAGAGTGGTCGTGAGAATTAAGGACATGATCACACAGGATGAATTTGCTTGATATTTTGTCAACTTTTCCCTGCTGCCTATGTAGGAAATGAATAGAGGCAACAAATGAGAATTCAAATTGTGATCTTAGGGTTTAAAGGGTTAAACAAGGGTATGGATTGATAGCTTGCATCGCAGACGTAATCTAATCCTGGTTAGCAGTCTGACCGATATCCCTTTTCTTCACCGTAGACCTTGTCCCCCCCATCCCTCCCACCACCCCTCACCCCCTCCTCCCCCCCCCCCCCCCCCCCCCCCCCCCCCAACAGACTAAAACGAATTACCGGAAGTGCGTTTTAAATTCCCTCTCATCTTGTTGGGCAAATCGACAATGGCTTATTTAACAGGCCAATCATTGCCCGTACTAAAATCCTGGTACACAAGGGCGGGCCCAGAACCAGGATTTCAGCGCTGTTTCGCAGACGGACTCAACAAGAGTTTAGCTTCATCTGTGATGCAGGTTGGCTATGGTTTCAAGGCCTTGGTAGTACACCCCTACCCAAACTTCCAGCTTGAGTGCCCAACCAGTTTCTTGTGTAAAAGCAAAGCCTTACTTATATTCAGTATGGTTTTCGCTATGCACTTTAAGGTGAACTTGGCCCTAGACACATCATTTGCACATCGTAAAAATAATGATTTGTGGAACATAATCCTGTCATCATCCATATAATGCAATTTTGTCTTTCTCTATTTCAGATTTGAACTGTCTGTCCAAAATTCCAAAATAATAGCATGTAGGAGATCGTGACATAATTCTAACGTTGGAATTCTGAAAGAAAAAAAAGAAGACAAAGAGAGAAGAAAATGACAAATGTAGAATATCATGTGATTTACCTCCATTTATTTAGAATTTCACAGGTTATAATAATTATTCCTCTTTTGAGTGTTATTCAGCAGCACACAAAAGATAGCTAATAATATTTTAAAGAGCTAAATGAATTGGTGAATGTACAAACAAATTTACTGTTAGAATTAGTGTAGTAAAAAACCTGTAGAGTTGTAGTTTATATTTTAATATCTAACTTAGTAGTATCTATCGAGGTAGTAAAGAAGAATGGGTGGTGAAATAAATTGATAAAAAAATGTTTTCCACTTTACAAATCTAGAAGAAACTTTATTTTCTCCCTCTTAGTTACTTTAATCCTTTAATGCATGGTTCAATGCTTGATGACAAAAAGATTTTTTATTTTTTGTATCTCCAACATAACGTGAAATGAAATTTACTTTTTTACCCTCTTGTTGGGGTAAATGTAGTGTTTGTATGAACAAAAAAACCTGATATAAGTTATTTTTATTAAAGAGTTAACCTTAGAACATATAAAACTTTGTAGCCTCTTTTTTATCCTAAATATTTTTTATCTGATGATAATAGTAATAGATTATTGTATCAAGCAAAAATCAATAATATAGATTATTATTTGCATAAAATGGAAGTAATAAATGACAAAACTTTTGATTAGAGTTTATTTGTGTTGTTTTTTAATATTATCATTAATAATAAATGATGATTCACCCAAACTTAAGTATTCATGATTGTTTTTCTTGTGAAGTTTTCCTGTCCTTGTGAAGTGGTCCTTTTGGGGGTAAGGAGTAAATACGAACTATGATCTTTACTCTGAGCCAGCAGTAGCTTTTGTTTCTTCCTGTGTTGTCGGATTCAGCCCACAATCTAACAGAACTTTTCCTCTAGGTCTTCTTTCAAACACTCCAAGTCCAATACTTCCAAAGTTTTTCTTGCTTTTTTTCAGTCGTAAAACAAGACGGAACGAGCAATAACAGTATTATTTCCTTCAGTTTGCATTAAGTAATTTTCTGAGATTTGTGGAAGGACTAGAGGACAGTCATTGTCTTCAGTCCTATTGCAATAGGCGAATCTTGGTTTACATTTTTTGGCTCATTAACATATGCTTGTCACTATCTGATGACGCGAATAAAATAAAAACTCTGAACACTGACAGGGCATAACAATTTCAGTTATCTCTGAAAATTAATACACCGAATGGTTTCAGAGAAATTCTCTTCTAAAAGCTCAAAATTTCACAGAGAATGTATGGCTCATTAACTTTTTCGCCACACAGAAATTTTGCAGTTTTTGATGGCTGATACTTCCTTCAATATTTCATGCAAAGAGCTGAGAATTGCACAGATCGCTCAACTTAATCAGCTCTTTCAATTGTTTCATTTAGTTCATATATACGGCCACGGCTTCTATGAGTTAAGTCGTATGCTAGGAAAAATGTAGACGATGACGTCAGCAAAGATTCGCCTATTCCCGCGGGTTACTCCCTATGATGGCCTATACATTGAGCCTCCAGCCGAAAAAGAGTCTTTTCCAGGCTTCAGGTAAATGAAAGGGTAGAGTCTTTCTAGCTGAAGTACATATGAATGGGTAGGGAAGTCCGTCATTTAGATATTTGAAAGGGTCATATGTCGAATAGACGCACCAGCGGCGCTGTATCCTTACTATGAATATTATGTTCTCCCGTAAGTACTGTTTATTAACATCATTTCAAACGGACGTGGTGTGGCTCTTAAATTATTCAAAAATATTAACTTCGCCTGAGGTGAATAATTGTTTTAGTATATTCACACGAAGTGATCTCAACAGAACCAGAAAGGAAACCATTAAAAAACGATTAGTTTGATTGACGGCAGGGACCGCGGAGACCATTTTAAAGTGGTAGGGGCTAAAAAATCTGGCCAGTACAAGAAAACATTGAAGGTCAGCGTTTTGCCACTTAAAGTGCACTTGCGCGCCATCCTATTTACAGCCTCAAAGAATGTAACATAAAGGTCGACACGTGTTATAGTATCCAATATAGTCAATATGTTAAATAAACCTACTTAATTAAGATTGTTACTTCTTGAAAGTTGCGGTTCTCATTGCGGGAAACAAACTGCTGTGCAACCCTATAGAGACACTGTCTGTTCATTGCTAGGCTAAACCTTTCGTGATCCATCCTGGATCGAAGCCACGTCTTCAGACGCCGTGCAGATGAGAATGAACGCTTGCGAGTATAGTAGCGCTGGTAGCAGGATTTACAGCAAGCAGCTTACAGATTATTTGTTCTGGTTCTGGAAACTTTGACACTGCCAATAGGATTTCGTCAAAGCACGATGTCTTCTCTTCATTTAACATATCTTCCAAAATGCTTAGTTGCCCAGGTAGCGCCCATGTATCAACATCTTAGCCTGCGAACAGCAGACGTTTCTCCTTGCTCATCGCCGCTGAAGGACGTGTCGCGAGGAGGAACGTCTGCGGCGATGAGCGAGGAGAAACGTCTGCCGTTCGCAAGCTATCAACATCTTTGCTGTATGATGCTTCAAGAATCTTGAACTCTGCCTCATAGTCGTCACCATTAGCAGCTTTAACCAAGAAAGTCTCCATCTGGGCGTAGGAGCTGAAGCTTTCCTGATTAAAGCGCTGATCGATAGCACTGACGATAAGATTAATAGCCTCGTAATAGACCCTTCTTAAAATCTTAAAAGTGATCTTCGGCAGTTTGGGAAAATAGCCCAGGTGCACCAACACCAACCTCCAGTCTGGCCGGAGCGCGTCGCTTTCTTGGAAGCGTCGGTTCGCCAACCAGGCGAGCAACGGTCGAAGCTCTGATCAGTGCGCATTTTTGTAAGTTTCTCGTTTGTGACAACCGGGCCTTTGACGTGAGGTATGAAATATGCAAGAGTAGACGCCTAATATTACTTTCAAGTAGAAAAATCCATACTTTTTCCATGTCAACTGGAGCGCTAGATAATAAATCCCAGCAATAAAAGTGGTAGGGCTGTAGCCCTACCAGCCCCTTCCGCTCCGCGGTCCCTGTGACGGGTAAATTCGTGCGTGAACACGTAGCCGTAAACAGTGGATGCGCAAAAGTTAGATCTTTACAGTATCTTCAAACATGGCAAATGATACTTTTAATCTTTTTGTATCGAGTTTTGTAAGCTTTAGCATCAACGGTTTAAAAGAAAACGCAGAAAATTTAAATTGCTACCCAATTCTGAGAAGAAAAGTAGAGCTTTATTTGTTGCTGTCAACTCACCGTGAATGAGAAAGTTTTCTTTATCGCTTCTTGCAAATGCTGTTTACAGCGGCTACGATCAAGGTGAGCGTTGTTTATCTCCAATGTTCTTTGCCTTGTTAACTTGCTGGCACGCACAATTTTCGAACATATTTGCCTTCCTCTTTTCTCCATAAATTAACTTCTATTTATAGGCAAAATTGGTCTTGCGAGAAAATCCCGAAATTACAAAACAGTGACAAAGCGACCTCGTTTTCCTCTGTGACTCCTCTGTAGAAGTAAACATAGCTTCAAGCGTACAAAAAGTCAGCGACAGTAAACCACTTCACAATAAATCTTTTCTTGCCTTCAAAGTCATCAGCATGTACTTGGATATTCGTGTATTTTCAAAAAGGCTTTACTATGAAACTTTGGCAAAACACCCAGTTCATGACAGCGGTTTTGTTCTGCTTTATATTCACCGCCTAGCGCGGTGAATGTAACGTCATAGTCCGAGATAGCTAACCAATCAGATTGCTTGAATAACCAAGATCACTGAGTGTGCGTATATACTAAAAGCAGTTATGTAAAACCAAGGGGTACCATTTTTAAATGGAGGATATGTACGAAAGAGGTACCCTTTCTGCCAAAAATGGAATATGAAAGGGCAACAAGGGATTGGACATCCGCCGGACGGAGCCTTTTCGTATAAAACTTTGTTGGGTGGCACCCCGGGTTACCATTTTATATAAAGACAATCTCAGATTCCACCTCGCTTGGATCGCATCCGCTGGTCGTGAATACCCGCAAATTTATAAATCTCGCTTCGCAAGCAGTGGTGAGGAATAATTGTATTTGTTATGGAAGGTACGTTTTTAATTGAGGGGAGGGTGGGGGTGGACCGGGGTATTTTCGAAATTTTTGGAGAAGAAATCCTGGCTCTCCCATTTCCTGGAATGGATTCGTTCATGACCCTTCACAAACAACTGCTAAAAGTACATCTGACCCTACCCCAGCTATTCAACACAAAAAGAACCGGAAGGGTAACTAACCGGGAAAATTTATCATATAATCACATGTACTTTCTAGTCGCTCAAATTTCGCACAAAGCATCTAATCGCGTGGCATGTGATTGTACAGTGGAAGCTTGAAGATAGGGAAGGATATACGAGGAGCAGAAAGGGGGAAATTTGCTTTGTGGTGAATGTGATGCTGATTCATGAGGTTGATGGAACAATTTGTGGCTATAGTGGCTGCTTGACGACTCGCTATTCTAGAAAGGATGCCCACTCCTCTTCTGACTCTGTTTTGAGGCATCAAGAAGACTGCACATCTGGTGTGGAACAAGTGGCGGAGCAACTCCAGAAAAGTGGAAAGATTAAGACCTAGGGTAGTTCCCCAACCCAAAGGACGAATTAACTGAATTCTCCTAAGGTATTCTGCCCAAATTCCATCTATGTCTCTTGGAGTGAATGCCAATGGCCGTGAGCCAGACGACTTCCAGCCTCGAGCTCAGATTAAGCGACTTCGAGAAACTGAATAAACTAGTCGAGATGGTTTATTCTATCAAAAGGAGGCGGCAATTTAATAGTCATGTAAAATGTACAGTTAGAGACGAGTTTCGACAAGATTTATGTCATTGTTATTTGCAGTGAGGACAACTACAGTCGCTACTCAATGATCACTTCCACCCATCATTTGCAATTACCGTCTCAACCGCGATTTCTTGCATCAGCAGAAATTTTCACTTGTTTGCCCCCTGAGAGATCACGTGACATTGCTTCTATCCCATGCAAAGATAGAGGGTATCATCGTGATTAAGGTGTATACAGCTATTTCTAGAAAGGTTGTCGGAGAAAATGCGCAGGCGACAATCTCCAAAGGTAATATGGGATATGGTCAATACACGCTCCCTGACTCTATAGCTGTCGAAGCTACTTTTGTTGCTTTCTTTGCTCCCGCTAACAAAAGTCTACGCCCTCTCGTGTAATTCTTTTACATTTCTTTGAAGAACAGTGAACTCAACAACCTTTCTCGAAATGGCTGTAGTTGCTTCAGTTTGTTTTTCGGTATGAAACTTATTAATCAGTAAAAAAAAAAAACAGAAATATTTTTATTTCATATAATTTGGTTAGGTTTAACTTAAAGGTATGATCAATATTCAGATAAGAAGTTGGATCAAGTTGGGGTCGTTCATTTCTCCAAGTTACTATCGTTTGACTGATCTAGTTAGTAGATGCTTTGGTTAAGAAACAACAACCTGAAAGAATTATAAAAAATTGGTTTTACTTAGGCCATATTTCCTTTGAAGTTATCGAAAATTAGGAGGTGCCTATC